AGCAGAGCCGGCCTGGGAGTCATGCTGCCAGCTGAAGATGTCCGCTTCCGCTACAGGCTGCGGCCTGTGTAACGGGGACCCGCCCAGCAGGTGAGGCTCCTCTGCACGGGCTTATCCAACCTGGTGTTCGTAGAATTCTCGATCACGTTCTGCTCAGATTTTTCTAATTTCTGCTTCGTTTTCAGTCGTCCTGGTTCCTGTGAGCGTCGCCCTCACGGCGTGCACAGCCTGGACGTGCTGCACGTGAGCGGCTGTGGAGACGTTGGACAGGTTGAAGCTTCCAGCCTGATTTTTTGCCTTAAAGCTTCGTCAGTTTTAAAAGAAGACCGAAAGTAATTACTACGTATTTTTGCACCTTCGTTATTGTTTTCTGTGCCTCGGGTCTGATGACTGTTAGCCAGTATGTACCTTCATATAGCACCGAGGTGTAAATGCTGTATGAGCCAGGAGCTTCAGGCAAACAGTGGTGCATTTGCTTTCATATTAACACTCTCAAAGTTAAAGGAGCAGTCCACACTTTTAGTAAGTCCGGCCGCGGTTAGCTTAGCTTTGCGTAAACTCAAGCATCCAGAGCGTACTGTAGCGTCGGCTGTAACGCTGTTAGATTGAGGATTTCTACAATGGTGGACTTGGACAAAATACTGTTAATTTCACTCTCTGCAGTGTTTACACGCTTACACACACACACACACAGTTAGTGTGCCTCCACACACAGGACTCTGTTCTGCTTCTTTGCCCCAGCTTTGTTTACTCTTTCCCACCCAGGCTTCTAGGCTTCTGATTGGCCAACATTTCTACACGGTTAGGAATATATCGCCACCTGTTGCTTTGACATGTTCCCAGCAGCGTTTTCCTTCATTTCTGCGTCTGTGGACGGTATTATTTTATTTTTAATTTTTTTAAACGAGAACGGAAAATCTCCGTTTTCAAAAACACCCGTGTACGTGTGGACGTAGCCTAAAGCTGTCAGCAGACTGAGAAGTAAACTTGTCAGATCAGGGCTGTCCGCCTCCAGGCCTCGAGGGCCGGCGTCCTGCAGGTTTTAGACGCGTCAGCTGATTTAAATGACGACCTCCTCACATGTCTTGAAGGTCTCCAGAGGCCTGGTGATGAACTAATCATGTGATTCAGGTGTGCTGACCCAGAGATCTGCAGGACGCCGGCCCTCGAGGCCTGGAGTCGGACGCTGCTGTGTTAGCTGTCCTCAGGTTTGTCCCACAGGGTGCAGCGAGTCGGTGCCACCTGCATGTGACAAGGTCAGCCATTAACGGCACGCTCGTAGTCAGAGCGGTGGAGTGGCGCTCTGAGGAGCGTGTAAAAACACCCGATGATAACCCTGCACCGGACTTCCTGGACAGTGAGGCTGTTCCTGTAGCGCCACCTAGTGTCACGCTGAGCACGTCAGCCTGCAGGTGATGTTTCCGATCTGTGATGTGAGTGCACAGTGAACCAGCTGACAGATTTAATGTGAAACTGTCCCACCTGTGGATGAACTGTGCCGCCTGCAGGGCGCCGTTAAAGGAGCGGTCACCTCAATCAGGTGTGTTGTAGGTCTGCCTGCTCTTCCCTCAGGAGAGGGATGCACCGAGCTCTTAACAAGTGTTTCATTCAGGAACTATTTTCTTTGCACTAATTACTCTAAAATGAGTTGATTTGATTTGAGCCGTCCCTTTACTGCAGCCTGTGGACGACTTTGTGCCAGTGTGCAGAGGGCCTGATGCTGCACAGTGATGCCCGTACCCGTGTATTTGGATGTATTTCAGGTGATTTTATTATTAAAATAAATGTAACATGCTGTGGAGCGTGATGTAACCTGAGCAGCTTCTCTCTGCTAGACTCACGTCTTTCTTTGGCCGTGAAG